AAAACACCCAAGATAGCCAAAACATCCCTGTACAATACAGAAACTTCAGGACACATCACCATCCCTGACTTCAAGCTTTACTATTGAGCTATAGTCCTGAAAACAGCTTGGTATTGGCACAAAAATAGACAGGTAGACCAACAGAATTGAATTGAAGACCCTGATATTAACAAACACATCTGTGAACACCTGATCTTTGACAAAGAAGCTAAAACTATGCAATGGAGAAAAGAAAGAGTCTTCAACAAATGATGCTGACAAAACTGGATGTATCCATATCTATCACCATGCAAAAACATAAGTACAAGTGGATCAAAGACCTCAACATAAATCCAGCCAAATTGAAACTATTAGAAGAAAAAGTTGGAAGTACCCTTGAGCAAATTGGTACAGGAGACAACTTCCTGATGTAACACCAGTAACAAAGACACTGAAATTGACAATTAATAAATGGGAACTCCTGAAACTGAGAAGCTTCTGTAGGGTAAAGGACACAGTCAACAAGACAAACAGCAGTCCACAGAATGGGAAAAGATATTCACCAGCACATCTGACAGGGGCTGATCTCCAAAACATACAAAGAACTTAAGAAGTTAACCTTCAAAAAACCAAATAACCCAATTAAAAATGGGATATAGGTCTAAATGGAGAATTTTCAATAGAAGATTGAACTGGCTTATAGACACTTAAGAAAGTGTTTAAAATCCTTAGCCATCAGGGAAATGCAAATCAAAACAATTCTGAGATATCAAACTACTCCTGTCAGAATGGCTAAAAGAAAAAAACCAATGATAGTTCATGATGGAGAGAATATGGAGAAAGGGGAACAATTCTCTACTGCTGTTGGGAATGCCAACTTGTACAGCCACTTTGGAAATCATTATGTTGTCTTCTAAGGAAGACAGGAAATCAGTCTACCAAAAGATCCAGCAATTCCATGTGTCCAAAAGATATGCATGCATACAATAAGGACATCTCTTCTTCTATATTCATAACAGCATTATTTGTAATAGCTAGAAATGGAAGCAACCTAGATGCCCCTCAACTGAAGAGTGGATAAAGAAAATGTGGTACATTTATACAATGGAATACTACTCAGTGGACAAAAAAAATGGAATCTTGAAATTTGAAGGCAAATGGATAGCAGTAGAAGAAACCATCCTGAATGAGGTAAGCTAGTCACAAAAAGGCAAACATGGTAGGTACTCACTCATATATGGAATGTAGACATGGAGCAGGGGATTCCCAGCCTACAATCCCACTGCCAGATAGTCTGGGAAACAGGGTGGACCCTAAGGAGTTATGCATGGTACCTCGGAGAAGGGGAATAAGAGTATGGGGGAAGGGAGAGAGAGCTGGGAGAAAGAGAAGAGGAAGAAGAGGAGGGGAGATGCGCACATTAGGGAGCAGTAATGTTGAGTCAGGGGAAGAATAGAGGAGATGAATATAAGAGATGCCATAACAGAGGGAGCAATTATAGGTTTCAGGAGACATATAGCACTGTGTGACTTTCAGAGATCTACAAGAATGACACCAACTGGCATCAAGGCTACTTAAATGCCCTTCTCTGATAATGAGATTGGTGACTACCTTATATGCCATCCTAGAGCCTTTATCCAATGACTGATGGAAGCAGAGGCAGACACGTACAGCTAAATACTGAACTAATCTCCTGGAACCCAGTTGAAAAGAGGGAGGAGTGATGAGCAAAGGAGTCAAGACCCAGCTGGTAACACCCACATAGGCAGCTGACGTGAACAAGGAGGAGCTCATGGACCCCAGACTGGTGATTGAGAGTCCAGCATGGGACTGATCCAGACCCCCTGAATGTGGGTGTCAGTAAGGAGGCCTCAGCAACCTTTGGGACCTCAGATAGTAGATCACTATTTATCCCTGGCATACGAATGGACTTTGGGAGCCCATTCTACATGGAGGGTTGCTCTCTTAGCCTGGACACATGGGGGAGGACCTAGGCCTTGCCTGGGATGACATGACAGACTTTGAAGATCCCCCATGGAAGACCTCACCCTCCCTGGGGAGTGGAGGGGAGATGGGGTGGTGGTTGGAGGGCTTGGGGGGATGGGGGACAAGGGGAGGAAGAGAGAGCTGGGATTGACATTTGAAGCAAGCTTTTTTTCTAATTTAAATAAATAAAAAAGTGTTAATTCACAACCAACACAGGTCCTAAGAATCAGTTCATTTTGCTTTCTGATACATTTTCCAGTTGGGATAGCAGTGATGGAGCATGGATACAATTAAAGTAGAATCCATCAGACTGACGATTATTTGCTGGAAGTTGACATGGGTCTGGGGAGTGGAAAACCAAGTCACCGCATTTACAGTATTTCTCCTCTGTGCAGACAAGGACACTTGAAGTTTGTATGTTTTCTTGACCTTGGGGCAAATCAGAGTCTTCTGCACTGCAAGCTGACCTCCCTCCCCTCTCCTGGTTTCAGGAAGTAGGTCATCCGATGGCAGTGGACAAAGTCATCTGGGACCTGTACTAGGATGCTGATATTAGCATGTGGTGAGGGACTGAAGATAAGAACTGATTTGTATTCCCATAAATAAAGGACATACAGAAATGATGTACAAACAGTATTTGGGGTATGAAATTTTCAAAATGGTAAAACAAAAAAATAGAGAACTTATGGACACACAGGGAAATTCTACTGAAGGATGTATATACAAAAAATATAATTGTGACTAACCACTGGCAGACATGGAGAAAGGGCTGATCTAGCGTCCACATCTGATTGGCCTTACAGTCTCCAAACCTGCTGTATCTGCTGGCCTGGACTGTAAATTATTTTGGAAGTCATATGAAACTATTATAAAGACCAGAAGTTTCAGTGTATAGAAATCAAGAACTATTTTCTGTATACTAGTTTTAAGTCCAAACTATAAAACCAGTAGTTGCCTGAGTACTTCTTCAAACAGCATTTACCTTGGAGCTTCCCACCGTCTTACTCAAGGCTCCACAGAGTCTCCTTTAAGTAATATTGTTTACTCATAGGTCTTCTAGTTCCTCTGTTCATAGGTGATATTTTTCTTCTGTGATGAATTAATCTCTTTCACATTTTGATGACACTGAAAAAGGTCAGGGAAAAGGGACCAACTGTGTGATATGTAGTAGGGTTAGCATAGGACAAGGATGACTTTTGCCCAGATGCCACTTTCATATCCACTCACAGGTTAGATTGTTCTCCTTTGTTTATTCTCTTTTACATGAAGGTTAACATAAGTAAGCCTGTAAGTGACTCATGTCTTGTACTTTGCTTACGCAGTGTCTGCAGAATCAGAAACAGTTATGATAACAAACTGTGGGATCTTTGAGGACCAAGCAAATATACACTACATCCAATGAAACCAAATGTCAAGAGCTTATCAGATTTTCATATAGTGAGGGAGAGTTGCCAAATCCTAATCTATCCCCTTCCAAGGCTACTTCTGCTGGTAAAAATCCATACTGAGAAAGCCTTCCTGAAATCTCAGGAAAGGACAAATAACAGACATAGCTCTATTTTTCTCTCTATACCACACACACACACACACACACACACACACACACACATATATATATATATGTGTGTATATATATATATAATAGAGCAATATACTGAGGAATAGAAATGATAATTGATAATGATTTGGGGTGTCTTTGAAATTATCCTCTAATGTCTGAAAAAAATCTAGTTACATAGTAAGAAATGACAGGGGAAATATTTAACAACTTCTAACAACAGCAGTATGGGTTAATACAGAGGTTAGATATGAATTGGTATTAACAGGTAGCAGAGAAAATATTTTGTGTTGAAGACCACTCTAAGAAAACAGAATGCAATCAGACAAAAGGTGATAGCTTACATATAATATGCTTAAAATTTGTAGTTGTTAGCCAATTGCTTAATTCTGTTGTATATTCATGGCTAATCATTGGTTACTGGCAGTAACTGAAAACATTTCCTAAAAGTGAAAAGATATAAGCCTAGTTTCATGGAACATTCTGGAAGAGGATTTGGCTGTGGAAATCTTAGAAATGACATGTGCTTGTCAAGAAATTGCATATTTGTCGTAAACATTAATAATTAACTTTTGTTAATAGGAATAGAATACTTTGAAGTGGGCAGATGGATCAGTCACTAAAGAGCTTTCACTTTAAGCATGAGAAACCAAAATCTGATCTCCTCAAATCAACTAATAGGCCAGGTGAGAGGACACATTGTGAAAATCCAAGCAATTATGATTTTGGAGATGGCAATACCTGTATCTCTGGAGACTTGTAAGCGAACTACATTCTCAACATGACAGCTTCAGGCCAATGAGTTATCTAATCCTAAGTACAAGGCGGTAAGCTGCATCAGAGCATCAAGAGCCAAAATTGCCCTCTGTCCTTGTTACCATACATGTGCATGTAAAGAAATGTGTGTGCACACGCATGCATGGACACACACACAGACACACACATATTCAAACACTCACACACCTTTATACAATGTTTTAGGTAAAGTAAAGGTCCAAGTATTTTTCAATTAGAAAATAATAAATTAGGAACGTTGGACAGTCTTTGTGGGCCTGATTCAGATTAGATTAAAGGAATTCTATCATATTCAAACAAAAATAACCTCTATATCGTGGAAAACACACGTAAATATCACATCCATAGTTGCAATATGATCCATGGTCTATGGGTGAAAATCAAAGATAAAAATATGAGACATTATCATGCTTACAAAATATCAGTGAATAGAAACATAAGCAAATATATAAACTGCCTAACAAATGCAATGAAATTCCTGTAATGGCAAAACTCTAAAATAGAGACTGACATCATAGTTATACTTCAACAACTCTTAGTCCATGTGACACTGCCAATGCCTCATGTTATGCTACCTGGCAGAAGTCCTGAAGAGGAGTCAAGGATGCAGTATATCCTACTTTGTCAAATATGAGGTCATCCAGGATGGGGATCAAAGACACCATTCTTGTGCTGTGTCTTATAAAGGCAGCTACCCCACTGCATGAAGCACAGACTTGGAGGAAACTTCAGAGCCTCTCCAAGATGCTGGTTGTTCTGTTCACAGCGGCCTTGCTGGCCCTGAGCTCTGTTCAACACTTCAGTGAAGGTAAGAAACATGGTTCTTTGTTCAGTGAATCTGCTTGTGGAAAAGAGATCACATGGCCCTCCTAGAAGATGCAGAGAGAGAATAGAATTAGCAGAATGGCAGGACTATAGAATCAGAACAAAGGTACTGCATTTGAATCCTCATTCCAAATTGAGGACTTGGATGCTGTTGCGTACAATAGAGTTGATTGAATGTTTGAACTAAATGATGGTAAGGAAGGGTGGGATTTGCAGATTCTCTTGCTTGTGTGTAAACAGGAAGGCTCACAGAAAGTAGTCTAGCAATGAAGATACTCTAATGCCTTAGTCAGTGGATAATAGTCATCTTGCTTCAGTGAATGTGGAACAGAAGAAAGAAAGGATGTAAGTCCATTTCTGGGTAGGATACTCAAATAATTAATTTTAAAATCCTATCCCTTTGCTTCTCTCTTGTCCATGGAGACAACAATGCCTATAAAACTGGTTGTCTGAGACCTCAAAGGGTAGTTGCAAGCATCAAAATACAATGTTTGCTACCATCAATATGTGAATTAAGAGAGAATTTCCATAAAAACTAGGTGGGAATGATTATGGGGGTGATTGGCAAACAAGTAAGAGGAACTATGTAATAGCCACTGACTTGTTAATAAAAGGTAAGAGGGCATTTGTTTCACCTGTAGACTTATCTCTTCTAGTGATGTATTCATAGCATATTGCAGACTGCCTACCAGAACCATAATCAAACACCATCTATTTCAGGATTCCCCCAAGGACACCCTCCCAACCAAGGTTTTGGTCCTAAACAAGGTCCTCCCCAGCAAGGCCCACCCCAGAAAGGCCCACCCCAGCAAGGTCCACCCCCACAGGGAGGCCCTCAGCAGAACCAAGGTCCTCAGCCTGGAAACCAGCAAGGCCCACCCCCACAAGGAGGCCCACAGCAGAACCAAGGTCCTCAGCCTGGAAAACAGCAAGGCCCACCCCCACAGGGAGGCCCACAGCAGAACCAAGGTCCTCAGCCTGGAAACCAGCAAGGTCCACCCCCACAAGGAGGCCCACAGCAGAACCAAGGCCCCCAGCCTGGAAACCAGCAAGGCCCACCCCCACAGGGAGGCCCTCAGCAGAACCAAGGTCCTCAGCCTGGAAACCAGCAAGGCCCACCCCCACAGGGAGGCCCACAGCAGAACCAAGGCCCTCAGCCTGGAAACCAGCAAGGCCCATCCCCACAAGGAGGCCCACAGCAGAACCAAGGTCCTCAGCCTGGAAACCAGCAAGGCCCACCCCCACAAGGAGGCCCACAGCAGAACCAAGGCCCCCAGCCTGGAAACCAGCAAGGCCCACCCCCACAGGGAGGACCACAGCAGAACCAAGGCCCTCAACCTGGAAACCAGCAAGGCCCACCCCAACTAGGAGGTAGACCACAGGGACCTCCCCAGGGCCAGCGTCCTCAGTAATGAACGATAGATCTCCAGGTAGGATTTGAATTTTCTCTTCATTAAATATCTTAATTCGTATACTTTTGCAAGTACAATCTATACTAATTCTACTGAAATACCTTTAAAATACATATTTTGTATTCTCTCTATTAGGATTTTTATGGTTGAATATTAAGATGACTTATATTTTGTATATTCCTAAAGTTATTATGATTGTGAGGACCAATGCCTATGTGTGATTGACAAAATGATTGCCTGTTGTTTGTGCAAGAAGAGCAGTGTTATATCTAATTCTGCTGTCTCATTTAACAAGTCATCAATTCCACCTATATTAGTTATACCTGATCATTCATTACATCTTTGGTAACTGGGACCTTTATGCATTGCTGTTAAATGTCATCTTCATTTGTAGAATGCATTCATATTCACATATGCCCAAAATAAAAAAAATAAACTAGAAATCCAGGCATCAAGGTAAATCTCCTAAGTATATGTTCTCATCCCTCTTTACCACCACCGCGTTGAAAGTCTACCATTAATTCTTTCAACATTCTATTAGAAATCAACATTCTATTAGAAATACTCACACACACACACACAAATATTTGCTAATCTGCACATTACACTTTGATTAATTAAATTTTTATTTTAAATCATTCACAATATTTCATAGATATAACATATTTGTATTTATATTTTTGGTGGTTTGGTTTTTTCAGTGATGATTCATTACATTCTGTGCCTCTGTTGTCATGGATCAGCTAATATCTTGCCAGTGAACTTTCAAGCTGATTTCTGTGTTTCACCAGTATAGGATATGTCTTAGTAACCAGCTTTCTAAATATGTCTTAAGACTTGCAAAGAGTTTCTGAGACAACATTCATATAGGCCAGGCTGGCTTCAAATTTTCTGTGTGTCCATTGTGCTCTTGAATCCCTGATTATCTTCCCTCTATTCCCCAAGTGCTGTGTTTATAGGCATATCTTATCATTACCAGTTTAACATGGAATGTTTTCATGCTAAAATGATATAACCAATAAAATATAGTTTCATTTTTCAGCCATGATTCAGAGTACATTATGTCCTAGGTGAGTAAAGAGAAACAGAATGGGAAGGGACAAAGATTATTGAAAGAGAAAAAACTCATGGACTTCTAACTACACCATTTGCAGATGCTAGAAAGAGATGAGTACTCCATCCTCGTATATGTTTCCTATAACTTCTATTTGTATTTGTTTCTTTCAGAAAAATGAGTAAGAAGATAATAACCTTGTTGGATTGTGCAACTGGAATAATGTTACCATAATTTGTCTACATAATAACAATTAAATTGCAAGCATATAATTTCTGATTCTTGTCTGTATTTATGGGTGTAAGTTACGCTGGAATTTTGACTACCTTAGACACAATTTACTAGCACCCAGGACCCTATATAATGGATGCTTCTACCTTCCTATCTTCCCATGTCCACAGCCCAGCTGTCAGGTGAAAAAAGATTCCACTTTATTCACAATGGACTATCTTCTAAGAAAAATATAGGCTTCAACTGGTATTCTTGTACTTTAGAAAAAGAGAAAATACAGAATAATTGTGAAGAAATTTTAGAAACAGAATTTTCTAAATTTTTCCAAAATAATTTCCAAAATTTTTCCAAAATAAGTGATTACATTTTCTTGGGTTATTAATGTGTTTTTCCACATTAGTTTGCTGCACTCTCTCCTCCTTCATGTTCAAAAATATTGTCTTCCAAAATATAGGTCAGTCTTAAAATCATCTGTTCAGGGTCCAAAGGTCCTAAGATAAGCAAAGGAACTAGGATATAAAGGCAAAAAGAATTTGCCATTATGTACTTGTCTACATCAGTTACTTTATTCTTTTACCATTCTCCACTTTATATACAGATACTGACACAATCAGCAATTCTCTGCCAATAGCAAGTATACTTCACATGCATTTCTCAGGGCCATGAAAACAGATAAGAGCTAACAAAGTACTTGCCTGTAACTTTTTTATTTTTATTTTATTATTTTAATTTAAATAGCTTGCTTCACATGTCAATCCCAGTTCCCTCTTCCTCCCCTCCTCTAGCATCCCCCACCATCTCCCCCCAGCCTCCCATCCTATCACCACTTCCTTCCACATAGGGGATATCTAGAGTCTGTCATTTCACTCAGAGCAGGATCCAGGCACTCCCCTAAGAGTCCAGGCTGAGAGAGCATCCCTCTTTGTGTTATGGACACATGAAGTCCATTTGTATGCCAGGGATAAACACTGATCTACTGCCAAGGGCCCCATAGGTTGCCCAGGCCTCCTCACTGACTCACATTCAGGGGGTCTGGATCAGTCCCATGCTGGCCTCCCAGCTGTCAGTCTGGGGTCCAAGAGCGCCCCCTGTTCAAATCAGCTGTCTCTGCTGGTTTTGCGAGCCCATTCTTTGCCAATTTGCTCATTGCTCCTCTCTCTGTGTCACTGGGTGCCACATGTCTCAGAGGAGGTGTGGCTATGAGACTCCCAAGCAGATACTGGGAGGATTATTAAGCAGGGAGCTTTAAATCAGTATAGAATTCTAAGAAGAGAAAAAAGGGGGTTTTGTGTGCAAACTTACATTGTTAAGTGTGGTTAGTTAAGCTAGAAGTTTGTAATCAGTAAATACAAAAAAAGGAACAGAAGCTGTAGCTCTGCTTTCTAAGCACTGGCTTTTGCCTTCTCAGCAGCAGGAAACATGGAAGCCAGCTGAAGCTGCTGAAGGAGAATGCATGGTATTTTATCCTCATTAGCATTTTTGTCAAATGGTAGATGGTTAAGGGGGACCTCTCAGCCCTAGAAATACCATCTAAGGTGGCTAGATCAAAGAGGGAAACTATGACTCTGTAGTGTAAAATCAAACCTGGTGCTTATAGCCTCAGACTAAACTTCAGGGTGCCTGTTCCTGAGAAGATATTTCTTTTTCCAGGCTAGTAAAGTGATCAAATGCCTTTTCAAGAATTCAAGGCACCCAGTACATAATCTATATATCAAAATTATACAACAAAATTAGTAGTCCTCTTCCTGAGTTGCCAAAGAATATGTGCTCAGTAGATGAAATATTTTCATGAGATAAACCAACAAGCATTGAGAAACAGCCAAAGCTGTTCTTAGGGAAGAAATGAAATGACTCATGAGAGAAATTACACAAGGAGCAACTGATTTCCTCAGCAAGTTACTACATGGTCTCTCCAGGTGGGGCTTCTTATCAGAAAACCACTAATCTGGTAGGTCTGCCTGTTGAACATTAGTTATCCTGCTGTATCTCTCATGGCCCTTGACAAAGAAATGTGTTAGATTTTAAATGATGAGAAAACTGTAAGCCCTGTGGAAATGATTTTGAGACTTAGGATTTTTTTTCTTGCTGTGGACTCTCAGTATAATTGCAAATATGTACATGGGATAATATAGTAATGTAGCAAACCAGGTTCTTAGGAATCACACAATTTTTGGAAAAGCTGCTACTGCCTTATGTTGCCCTGACTCACAGATTGTTAATATATGTACACACACACACACACACACACACACGTGTGTGATGATATATAGTTTATGATGTAATAAAGCTGGCCCAGTGATCAGATCACAAAGCTAGCCACAGTCATAGAGGCTGGGCAGTGGTGGCATACACCTTTAATCCAGGACTCAAGAGACATAGACAGAGGCAAGAGACTACATGAGAGTGAATCAGTCTAAAAGAGAAACAGAGCCCACACCTTTAGTCCCAGAACTAGAGTATAAGGAGCTCAGTGAAGTCTCAGGAGAAGTCTGAGGTTTGGTGAGGGAAGTACAGTCTGGAGATGCAATCTGAGGCTTGGTGGATCACCCCTTCTGTAGAGGTGCCAGCGATCAAGTAACTGGCTGCTTTGCTTTTCTGATCTTCAGCTTGACCCCAAATATCTGTCTCTTGGTTTTTATTATTCATGCTACATATTGTTGCCCAACATAAAGGTAGAAATCCATGAAAAAGCACTTTGCCTTTGGCTTTGAAGCCCCTGGTCCAGGCCAGAGCTCCATGTCAGACTCTCGCCAAGAGTTCCTGTCCAGCAGGCTAGGTTTTCTTTTGCCTTTTTTCCAAGCCTCTGAAGACCAGCAGACTTTGCCTTTAGGCTGTTCCCACCACATGAGATTTTTCCTAACAGTCCCATGTATGGTTTATTCAGACACAACTCTCTTCCTCCCTCACTCTCCATTCCTCTATCTCCCTCTCCCCCCCCCTCTCCTTCCACATGGGTTGTAGGTTTTTCCTACAGCCCCTCTCCTCAGGCTGTCACTCCTAGTGCACATGCTAATTCTTGCTTCAGAAGTCCTATGCCTCAGATGTCACTGACCTCACAGTTCACTGACACTGTCTGCACATTTGGTAAGACAATTGAGCATTCATAAAGGAGGGAATGAATTAAAAGAGAGTTTTCCCACATTAGAAATGGGAAACACAATTACAATGGAGAGAGGTAGTTCTCTGTACAATTATGCAAAGTATGATTTAAAAATGGAACAGGTAAATGAAATTGTCATTTTGATAATCTTTATTGTTGGATTGAAAGTTCTTGGTTTATCTCTAAAAAAGTTGGTTGATATGAGTGCCAAGTTGGGGGCCTTAGAAAAGCTTACCAAAGCAGATCATAGAGATATTCAAATCCAGTCAGAGGAATTCAGTGGAGAACCAAGTTCAGTAATGCATTATAAGGTTAAAGAGGACCAGTTTAAGATCTCAAGAAAAGCAACATTAATAAATCCAGGAACTTTGCAGGAATAACCAAATGAAAGAGACTCTGTAAGGGCTAGTTGGACTCCTGTGACAATGTTATATTTAGGCAAATTCAAGAAAGCAGGAGTCTCATATAGAATCCAGGACCCATTTGTGAAGCAGAAGTTGAACATGTGGTCAGTTTGCAATATAATTATTCCTACAAGCTGGATAGATGTGGTTAAAGTAGCTCTAGAGCTTACTTCACAGTTACAATGGACTACCTGGTTCATAGGAGAGGCTGAAAATATTGAACGAAGGGCTAAACTTCGAGATGTGGATATCTTCCAAGATCAACTTCTTGCAGAAGGAGACAATGCTACTTTAGAAAGGCAATGTAATGTCTATATGATGATCACCTCTTGGCTTTATGTCATGCAGCAGCTTTGAATGCTTGAGACAGAATTGGGGAAATAAGAAGAAAATTGGATCATTTACAAAAGTTATACAGGGCCCAAAAGAATCCTTAACAAATTTCTTTGAAAGACCGATTTCAGCAGTAAATAGAATGAAATTAGATTCAGAAGTTTAAAAAACATTAATTGAATCTCTGGTTTTTGAAATGCTAATTCTCAAAGCAAAAGGATAATTAGCCTTTAAAGGCAAGTTCAGTACCTTTGGAGGAATAGATTCAAGGTACAATTAATATTGATGTTCGTGACCATAATGGTGCATAGATAAGAGAGGTGATTTCAAGAGGTTTGGAGAAACATTGAAATGTCAAATGTTTTAATTGTGGCAGACAAGGTCACCTTAAAAGGGCATTTTTTAGAAACAATGTTTTTTCTAGGCATAATCCAATCAGAATGTTCCTCCCTTCTGGATTAAGCAGAAATGTGTGACAAAGGCAGGCATTGAACTGGAGACTGCACCAAAAGATATTCAAGGCAATTCTTTGCCTTTGGGAGATACTTTGAGGGGTCCCTCAAAGGCCCCTATGCCAAATATGGTTCAGTCATTTCCTGTTACCATAGAGGAAGCTGTTTCCCAGAGTAATTCAAGAACCAAGTGTCTACTGTAAGAAATCATACTGCTGTGGATGATAGAAGAGCTTTAGAAGAGAAAAAGAAATTTTAGGAAGTTGAAGACTATATAGTTATGTTTATAGTTTTTCTTGTTTACCAGACTCAGAAAAGCAATTCAATTAAGATGTCTAAAGTATAAAAGATTGAGAGACACTAAAAACCATTTTGATACTGAAAATTAGAATAGAAAGTGAATTAGGTACAACCTTTTGGACTCACCAAGATAGGATAGATAATGGAGTATTTTCACTGAATTTGTTAAATCCAAATGGATTAGATATTGTTGATGTATTTTGTCTGTAAATAGTTATAACCTTCTTTTTTGTATTAGACAAAAAAATGGGAATTGGGATGATACATTATTCATGATCTAAAAAAGCTTGTTTGAAGATCAGAATGCAAAGTTAGCCACAGCCATAGAACCTGGAAGTAGTGATACATGTCTTTAATCCCAGGAGTAAGGAGACAGAGGCAGGTAGTTCTCTATGACAGTGAATCAGACTAGAAGAGACACAGAGCTCTTGCATTTAATCCTAGCACTAGAG